TGCTTTGGACTGCAAGCTCATCAGACCGTTGGATCTCACAAATTTCGAGGGAGGGAGGTGAGGGGTGACAGGGAGAGCAGTGGCTTTGGGAGGACCAAACACGTTTCGTGGAGATCACATGTGTTGTTTGCAGAGGGTGGGGCTAGAGGCGGGCCGGCAACACAGGCGTCCCAGAGTGCCCGCTTTTGCCAATCGCATTCCAGAGCGCTTTCCCTCACAGGCCCAGACGGAGCGAAGGCCTCTGTCATGACTTCGGGCGAAAGTAAACACGGGCTCCACTTTTTTCCATGGACGAATCCTAACTCCCGATGGCCAGCACCGGCCTCCCCACAATCCAAACGAAAAAGCGGCCTTTCCCAAGAAAATGAGACCCTTTTAACAGACAGATGCATCTTGGCTAAAGCCAACTTTCCTAAAAGCGTCCTAGAAATTATTTATCGAGAGGCGACGCCAAAGGTCACCTGAGCAGACCCGGCCAATGGAGTGAAGGAACTCAAAATAAATACAACAAATGATCCAAGACTACACGTTCACTCCTACCCGCACCTGCACTTGGGACCTACACAGCACATTTGGGAGCAATCACAGGATGTGCTACTCAACACGCATGTGCGCGCACACACACACACACCCAGCGCTCCCTCCCAGATAATTGGAATAATCTTTCTCAGAACAGAAGGTGATAAGACGGGGGCTGATTTGAATAAATAGCAAAATAGCTCTTGAGGCTGGAGCCCTGTGATGCTTTTGTACATGTCAAGTCCACGTCCACGCCCGACTGGACGCGCTCCATCACGCTAGGCGAGGCGGCAACGCGACGCGGGCAGACTCACCAGGTTGGAGTTGGTGGCGTTGGAATCGTCCTCTGGGAAGGGGATATAGATCGCTAAGGCCACGCAATTGGCAAAAATAGTCAGTAAAATAATTATTTCAAATGGTCTGAGGAAGGGAGTCAAGGAAGTTCATGCTGCCGAGGGCACAAGTGATACAAACACAATACAAACCCATGCATGCTTTCGAAAATGAATCAAAGATTCATCAGAATTTTGTTTAAACAATGCATTCCAAGCCCCTTGTATTCCGAAAAGAAACATATGCCTTTTTAAGTGCTTCTCGTGGGTCCCCGCCAAGTTTCTTCCTAATATGTCAAAAGCAGTGGAGGCCAGTCGCGTGCCAGAGTAAACACAGATTTCTAAAAACTTTTCCCCCTCCTTTTATTTATTTAGATTGCATTTGACTTCATCTTCCCTCGTGTGTATTTGAGCAGTGCCTGCCTCAGACGGGAACCCGCCACCCCCGCCTCTTTCCTCGCGGCAGCGGGGCAGCCTCAGGACACAAGCGTCATGGGGGAGGTTTGATTTTTCATCTGTGTAGTCCAAGTCTGGAGGTCTGGGCTTTAATCTGTGACACTGAAGATCAGAGTGTTGTTCTGTTTTGTTTACTGCCTCATCCTCCAGCAGCTTCCAGAGAACCTGAAGACCAGCAAGGGTGGCTGGGGGTGAGGGTGGGGGTTGGGTATGCCATGGGTCTTCCAGAGCATGGTGGGATGGGTACTGTGTATTTCCGGTCTGGCGGCAGCCATCCTTCCTGCTATGTGAAAGGCAGAGTTTCACTTCACAGATGTGATGTCTGATCCGTCTGTGCGGGCACCGCCTTCAGGGACCGAAATTAAATTCTACGTCACCATCTAAATTCTACGTCGTCGTCTTGAGTTCTCCACTGATATTGCCTGCCTAGGATTCGAAGGAAACCCTGGGTCCCCCACCGTCAGCAGGCCGCTCAGGGAGAGTCCCGGGCCCTCATTTCACGACCACAACACCAGGCAGGAGACCATCGTACGTGAACAATGAGCTAAAGTGCTACAACACCCCACCTAGTAAGACTCACCCTGCACCCACCTGTCTTGAAGACAAGAGGAAGGAACTTTGAAAAGGAAGGCCCAGTGCTCACTGTCTGAGCCATTCACCCCTCAGTGTCACCGGGGGGAGGGTCGCGGAACTCCCCCAGAGAAATCGTGCCCACAGAGAGAAGGAGTTCCAATCAGGAAAAGACCTGACCGATCACTGGGTCCTAAGGACACCCAAGGCGCAGAGCGCCTGGGAAACTTCTCCAATGCCCACCGCGAGTTAATGAGCACACGCAGGTCTAGAGCCCAGACTCCCCAATCACCAAGTTCAGCGCTCACGCCATTGCAACAGACCGTGTGAGCAAGTCTGCGAGACTGTAAGGAATCCTAGAGATGAGCTAGTCCACCGCTGTTAGCAGGCAGAGTCCTGGGCCTTCCCCCAGCGGTTCTGATTCAGCAGGTCTGGGTGAGGGTCTAGAACACGGTACTCTAGCAGTGCTCCAGGGATGGGGAGGCCATGGGCAGAGGACCTGTGTGTAGGCAAAGCACTGCCAACAGAGACCAGTACCCAGCAAGCCTTGGAAGGATGCCCCGCACGCCCCCCACCCCCCACCCCAGGGCCCCTTGGCATGCCCCACCCAGCCCGGCGCTCAAAGGATATTTCCATTCCACGATGCTGATGCACGCCCTCCGGATGGGGTTCTTCAACGTCAAGCAGAGCAGGGCGCGGGGCGGGCGCGTGGCGGGCGTGCTGCCCTGCTTCTTGGGTTTGCCGTACTGCTGCCGCTTCCGCTGTGTGGAGCTGACCGTGGAGATGGTCGCGTTGCCACCACTGCCCATCAGCTTCGCCTGCCGGGCCGCATCGATGGCCGCCTGCCAGGACAGGGCTGCCCCTGGGGTGGGGATGTGCTCCGGAGCAAGCCCCGCAGCTGCGTTGGCGTTCATGTTGGCATGAGCTGGGCGCGGGCTCCCATAGTTGGAACCTGCACAAAGCGAGGACAAAGGACAACCGTTACTGGAGAGAGAGCAGGTCAGCTTGTGACAAGCAGCTGGGGAGACCCAAACCAGACTCCCAATTTATTTGTTGTTGTTGTTGTTGTTTTCCCCTTTAATCTTATTTCAAGACATTGTGGCAGGTAGGAGGTGGCACACTGGCAATCCCAGGGAGTCATGCAGGGAGACGGAATTGGAAAACGTCTTCTCGCTCAGCTGTGTCACCTTGGACAAGTGAGGGCCCTGTTCTGAGTCTCCCTGTCCCATTTTAGGGGACAAGAGATCAGATGTATGTGTTCAATCATGTCTAGGCCCAAGAAAAGGAAGGTGCAGACTGAGTTAGTTAATTTTGCCAGCCTGGCCGATAATCACATGTGGGGTTAATTGAAAGGTGGAGGGATAAATGGGTGGTGAGCCTCGCATTTCTAGTTCTCGGGTCTCTTGTTTTGTGATGGTTGCACCGGGTGCAGCTGCCTTAGCAGTTCCCTGCTTCAGCTTGCAAGATGGATTTCCTACAAGACATCCCCAAGGAGAAGCCACATGGATCTATCCCGATGCAGCCCTGGGTGCTGGAGCAGCTGTGTGGAGACCCCTGCCAGCGCTGAGATGCTTACACATTCACTGACTCAGCTTTCCTCCTACAGTCGGCATCATTGCCTCTGTCGTGAGGTGGAGGACTTTGTGGACTGGTGTTGGGTTAATGGGTTAATGTTGGACTTGTGGGCTTGGGCAGCATTGGGTTGGGATGTTTTTGTGATGCACCTTTTCTTTACATAAAACTCTCTCTTATCCATGAGTTGCTGTGCATTTGTTTCTCCAAAGTACCCAGACTATTACACAGACCAATGACATGGTAGACATTAAAGTTACCTCATTTCTACGAACGCGAACAAAATGATAATCATTAGACAGAACAAACACTAAAGGAAGGCCAGGAGGAAGAACATCGGGGTTGACTATGAAGACCAAGGAGAACGGGTGAACCAAAAGAGGGTGTCATGTGAATGAATGGTGATAAACGTACCACCGACAGAAAAGCGTGAATCGCTTCACTCTGTGCACCTGAATTTTCAAGTCGGAGAAAATAAATACAATAAAACGAGGGTGTTGGGGTCTAAAGTCATATCCAGGTACCCCAGACTCAGCTGGGCATCACGTGCCAGCTGGATGCCAGAGGTAGGGAGGCTGTAAGACATGGAAGACAGTCCTCTGTGTCCCTTTCTCACTGGGAGCAGAACCTATGGCCTGCCTTGAAATGGGACAGGTGCCCACTGTGTGCTTTCATCAGTCAAGGGCAACAGAAGGGACATGAGACAACGGCCAGGCCCAGGTCACAGAAAGGCAAAGCTGCTCCCACACCCGACTCTCTCAGGATGCTCCCTGGGAGGGAATGATGTCAAGCTGCCAGGCAAAGCATGGCCTGAGGCTGCCGTGCTGGAGCGAGGAAGCTGGCCTATGGGATGATCACTCGGAGAGAATGAGACCCAGCCAGCCCCCAGCTGCCCGTGGCCATCCAACTGCAACCTCATGAGAGACCCCACGCCAGAACTGACCACACGAAGCCCTGTGGAGTCCCTGACCCCAAGAAAGGAGGTGTTGTCACGGTCAGCCACGCATTTGACCAGCATTACATATACCTAATGGGGCCGGGTTTGGCAGGGTTTGAGGTAGACGGGCCTGCTCTGGAAGGAAGCCTGAGTAAAACCAGAGCGATCCAGAGGGGCAAGTTTCCACAGCTCAGCTTCAGAGGAGCTTAAGCCTTCAACATCACGGTCTGTCTCTAAGACACGGTGCATACTTGGGACACACACCTCCATCCACTCGAGAACCCTGTCAGGTCTCAGCCAGGTGATCAGCTCAGCATGGCCCTACACCTGAACCTCCCACGGCAGGTACCTGATCTGGAGACATGGCACCACCAGTCACCAGGCCAGGGGCAGCAGGAGCAGCTCCAGCGTTCAGGTGACACTGGGTGGTGGTGACGAACACGGTTTCTCCCTCCTACTCCCATCCTGCCAACTTCTGGAGGCGGCTTTTGGGGAGGAGGCTGCAGCAGCCAGACCAGCAGCACATACGTCCCTTATGAGTCCCCTCGCAATGGCAGCCTGCTCTGCTCAGTGTTTGCAGGGGCCAAGTGCAGAACGAGCTGGCTTGTTCAATCCCTTCCCTCTCCTCGCTCCACCTCACAGTGCACAGGTGAGGCCTTGGAGCTTCAAAGAGCCACATCCCCAATTCGTATCCTGGGCTTATTCTCCCAGAGTAGACCCGTCAGACCCTCCGTTCCCAGAGTAAACAGCTATCTAGAACCGATGGCTCCCACCACCCCCTCTACCCCAGGGATCAATGCAGACGGAAGGACAGAATCCGGTGGACAGGATCCAGCTGACCGGATCAGAACGCTGATGGACAGAAAGAGTCTGTCCTGGAGACTTGCTCCAACAACTTCATCCAGCCATGCCTAAAGCTGGCCCTACGCGGAGCGTTCCGGCTACCTTACCTAAAGAACTTAGCTTAGAGCAGTGGTTCTCAACCTTCCTAATGCTGCGACCCTTTCATACAGTTCCTCATGTTGTGGTCACCCCCCTCCAAACTGTAAAATTATTTTCGTTGCTACTTCTTCACTGTCATTTTGCTACTGTTATGAATCAGGCAACCCCTGTGAGAGGGTCGTTCAGACCCCAAAGGGGTCGCGACCCCACAGGTTGAGAACTGCTGGCTTAGAGCACTTTGAATTGGGTTTCTATCCCTTGCAACAAACAAGACCCGACCGATACATTTGCTCGGGTCACAAAGCTTGTCAGTGGAATGTATCTCTCCTTGACTCTGAACTCTGTCCTTTCTATCACGCCTCTGGCACACAATACGTTCCACCTCTTATGCCAACTCACTGACACAACTATGCCAAAAAAACGAAAACGAAAACACCCACACATACAGGGGGGCTGCACTTCTGACCAGAGCACGAGAGTATAGCCTGGTAGGTTAGTGATGCCTGTCACGGGCACGGAGGGTGGGTAATGGTCTCCCAGAGAGCACACGTTTACCACCCTGTATGGCACCAAGGTGCGCACACCAGGCCTTCTTAGCATCAGCTGCCTTCCTGTCCCATGGCAGTTGCTTCCTGCTCCATCACCATCTGGCCCCTATAGTCCCACCCCAGTGCCAGGGCTCCGCTACACCCAACCCATAGCTCTATTCTACACACGGCACTGAGTCACCGTATACTCCCTTCACCCCCCTCCTGGCCTCTGCCCCCACAGCTGCTCCAGACAGCTAGCTGCCTCACCGCCAGGGGGAAAGAACGTCAACCAGAATACTGGGATGTGCAGAACCCAGCCCCTCCCTCTGAGAAGGCAGCATGCTTCTCCCCTGTCCCCTCCGCTCACTGAGGGGATCCTAAGTCATGAGGGAGGGAAGACCCCAATAAGGCCGGGCCCTTGCTCTTTCTTACAAGACCCAGCTGGGGTGGGATGGGGGGGATGGAATTAGGAGAGGCTTTGAATAAATCATGACAGAAGCCAGAGTGTTTTGCAGGCACCCGAGGCACCAGAACGGCTTTGATCACCAGCTCGCGGAGAATCCCCATCTCACACGTAAGAAAACAAAGGCCCGTGTGGCTCAGGAAAGGTAACAAAGGGAGACAATGGAAGATGTCTGCAGCGAGCCCAGGACTCCAGCAAGCTGCTAGACCAGACACCGGCCTCCCCAGCTCTCCCTCTCTCACACGTACACATGCCACATGCAGACGCACGCACGTGTGTGCTCACATGCACAGTCACACACCCTAGCACATGCCCCCTACTGGTTTTGAGGAGGCTTGCAGCTGATGGGGCCGCATTCTGAAATGTGACTGCAGGCAGCTAGTTACACTATGGGCTCCTTATTAACCCTCAGGGCCTCTGAAGAGGAATCAGAGTGGAACAGGTCACTGTGCCTTGGTGGCGAATGTGTCCCGAGTGGCCTGGTCTTCATGTTTCATTTGGCTCCCCAGAGGAGCCTGGAACTCTAATCCCACTCCGTTCAACCTGTGGTGTGTGATTTTTCCTGCCTAGACTCCCTGTGTGGTGCTATTCCAGCTCCTGCACTCCCCTCCCCTCTTCTCTCTGTCAGCCCCACTCAGGACAGGCCCTCCACAGTGCACACCATCCTGAGCTTAGCTGCCACCGAGTCGAAGCTCAGATGCAGGGCAACTTCATGCACAGGGGACTGGCTGGTACTGAGGGATTTCACTGGCTGGTTTTTCAGAAGCAAACAGCAGGCCTTCTTTCCTTCTAGTCTGCCTGGGTCGGAAAGCTCTGCTGAGACCTGGTCAGCATACCGTAGCAACTGACCCAGGGTGGTGTCGGCCCGCTTGCTCCCCGTCCCCCCCACAGAAGGTGAGGGCTTTACCACTATGCCTTCGTTGCCCCCATTCCCTAGGACCACTGTGTCCAAATCCAATCTTTTTACTCACCCCTCCCCATTGTTCATATGCTCGCTCCCCATTCCATTTGCTAGCCACCCCCAAACCAAGAACCCCCGGGAGCTTTTTTAATAAGACTTGAGAAGAAGCAGGGCAGACCAGCAGAAAAACACACCTGGGCCACCTCTGAGTGGCTAAGGGTGGGCCCACTTATGCTTCCTGAGCTTTGGGACAAAGACTTCTCAAGAGCAGGGTGCTGGCTCCATTCCCAGGGCTTAGAAGGAGTTTGGGAAACCTTGTCTTTGGTCGGCTGTCTTCTGAGCCAGCCCACCCCCGGGCTGACCTTACTTGTATCATGAGCCGTTCCCAGACCCCAAGGCCCTCTCTGGGGCAGGCCATCTGGAGGAAGCACATACGGAACAGAACGTGGGGGAAATGGAATGTCAACCTCTCCCGAGCCAAAGGACAAGAAAACAATCTTCCGTATTTGGGTCGGGGCAGTTGTGAGTACGGCTGCAGTCCTGTGGCATGATGGAGGGCATGACCACTGTCAACCCAGCCCACAGGGCCACACACAGGTGAGGTGGG